GAAGGCCGTACCTTGACCTATAATGGTTTACTTTTATAAATTGTAACTTGGATGGAGAGTTGTCTCATTGGCACTCATACCACATCTTCCTATATCTAGTTGGAAGACGCACACTTTTTGAAAATATTATGAGTACTATTAATTGTATCTTGAAATCATGACCCCCTCTAAGACTGAGGCACTTTGATTACAGAAAAAAATCCCAATTCTTAAAATAAGTAAAGTCATTTTGTAAGGCTTTGAATAATAACTCTCCAATATACAAAATATAGAGGATATGATAAGATTGTCAATGAGACAACTGTCTACCAGAGACTAAATGTTAGAAACTATAAGTCACTGTACGTCACGAAATGACAGTTCAATTCAGAACAAAACAAATATGGTATACAGCAAGAAACGACAGCTACTGAATTACAGGCTCCTAACTTGGGACAGGTAAAGACAGAATGTGGTGGGGTTAAACATGTTTGCGGATGCCCAACCCTCCCAAATCCAGGACAGTAGTGTAACAGCACAACAAAACAACCTGTGAAAATCAGTTGAAAAGGGCTCAACTTATCAGAACGATACAAATTACAAAATCATTTCAATCATGACAGTACATTTACAGTGGAGGATCCAGGGGGGCGAGTGGGAGGGGGGTGAAACAGTGGTTGGAACCCCCCTTTTTGTGTGACAACTAATGCTTTTGTAAGGGGACATATGGTTGGAACCCCCCCCCCCCCCCCCCCCCCCCCCCCCCCCTTTTAAAAATGGCTGGATCCCAGCCTGATTTATTAAGTTATAATATTTTATTCAGTGAAATAATCATGAAAAACCTTAGCATCTTGCGTTAAAAGTATCAGTGACATCAAAATAAATTTTATCTGCAATCTGATAAAAAACAATGTATATGATACATGTTAAAATTTAAGAGTTTTTAATAAAGTCCTTTTTGAAAAGTAACAAAGGATAGAATATTAAAACATTGCTAAGGATGTTAACATATTGACCTTGTTTTTGTTTCAATTGAATAAAAATGATCAAATATTTTAATACCACTATGCTTGCTATGAAGTTAGTGACAATAGTTAATGTAAATAGATGTCAGGTCATTGTCAAATAGATTAAATATTTACTTTTGTCAATAAAAAATAATGTACAGTAAAAACATTGAATATCACTTTTGTGTCTTCTACCGTATATAATTAAAGGACTGAAGTAATTTGAAAGCAGCTTATAAACAATGAATTATAAATTGTTAAAAATAACTTCACTAATATGATAGTAAGAAGCTTAGGTTTCACTTTTCACTTCTAAATACTAAATTATAGATTAACATTTTCAAAATAAAAAGTCTTTTTTACAGTTCAACCTAATTGTTATACACTCACAGCATTTTTCACATGTAAAGAATTTTCATTTTGCAATGTTTGAAAGGTTAACTTCCAGTCAATAGGGTATGTGAGTGCTTTTGAACAATCAAACTCACAAACTGCATTTTTCATGATAAAAGAAATTACACTATAATGTTTGTAAGGTTAACTTCCAGTCATTAGGATATGTGAGTGCTTTTGAACAATCAAACTAAATGGTTGACCTTTTTAATGATTTGGAACTCCAGGTGTCTAACCATTGTGTTGGCTCAAAGGATTGGCATAGATTTGTACTGAAAGTTGCAAATATTAATATATAGATGCAATTGATTTACATTAATTTTTATTTATAAAAAAAGACATCTAAATTTTTCACTTTTATTTTTTTTTTACTTGGAAAGAAACAAGACTTTTATCTATTCAAACATTTTAAGAATTTGATTTTAAAAACGGGGACGTAAGCCTGAAAATTTGTTTTTCTAATGGATTTAAATGTTAATTTTCTTTCTGATGTATTGCTATAGAGCAAGAAATGAGGTAAGTGACCTAACTGTGTCACAGTATTAGAAACAAAGGAATGCTAATCCCTCAGTGGCAGAAGTGTCTGGTGTTAACTATTTGTATAAAGCTTTATATTTCAGATCTTGCATTCAGATTACTTTTGGTCTGAAGTTTTCTTCTGGCATAAGTCCTTTGTCCTTGACCTCATTATCACTGTTAAATGACTGCATAAAATGATATCACATGATCTTTTTAGTTATTTAAAGTAAAAGGTCAATTATATATGGTGTATATAATCATTTTTAAAGTATATAACCTATTTGTGAGAAATTGTGGTTTGGGAAGAGGATTTCATACCTTTCAGCTACTGCATTATCCTATTATCTTGATAACTATTATAGAAAAGAGAACCTGAAAAACAAAAATGATCAGCATGACAAGATCTACAACTAAGTCAATATGGCAGAAATTGTCAGCATACTTCTTAAAGGAGTTATTTCCCTTGAAATATGAATTTTTTTTTCTACCCTCTTTTTAGGGGAGGGGGGTAGAAACTATAGTACACATAGAGTATCTGTAAGTAGCAAAATTGTGTGTCGGTCGTCTCTTGATAGTTATTGCCTTGAATGACAACTTTACCTAATATATTCTGTTTTTGTGCAAAAATTCAAGTAAATAGAGAGAAACTTTAAAAGCAAAATTGATCAGCAGGACTTAAATCATCAGTTAACTCCTTATAGGAGTTATTGCCCTGTCATAAAAGTTTTTACCCATATTTGTTTTAATAAGAAGTGTATTAGAAAGAGAGAAACAACTGTAAAGGCATGAATGTACAGCAGGACAAAATCTGATAAGTCCATTTTTGTCGAGCCTTTGACTTTTGTCGAAAAAGCGAGACATAGCGATCCTACATTCCGTCGTCGGCAGCGGCATCCACAAATATTCACTCTGTGGTTAAAGTTTTTGAAATTTTAATAACTTTCTTAAACTATCCTGGATTTCTACCAAACTTGGACAGAAACTTGCTTATGATCATAAGATAGTATCCAGAAGTAAATTTTGTAAAAAAAAATTCCCTTTTTTCCGTATTTTACTTGTAAATGGACTTAGTTTTTCTGCCAGGAAACATTACATTCACTCTGTGGTTAAAGTTCTTAAAATTTTAACAACTTTCTTAAACCATCTTAGATTTGTACCAAACTTGGACAGAAGCTTGTTTATGATTAAAAGCTAGTATCTAGAAGGAAATTTTGTTAAAATTTTGTTCCATTTTTTTCGTATTTTACTTATAAATGGACTTAGTTTTTCTTCCAGTTAACATTACATACAGTCTGCAGTTTAAGTTTTTAAAACATTTATTAGATTCATAAACTATCCTGGATTTTTACCAAACTTGGACAGAAGCTACTTACAATCAAAAGATAGTATAGAGAGGAATATTTTTATTAATTTTTTTCCTCATTTTTGTTGAGCCTGCGATTAACAGCAAAAGTAGGTGAGACACTGGGTTCCGCGGAACCCTTACGAATTTTTTGTTGTTGAAACAATAATTGTCAAAATGGCCAAATCTCCAGTTGACCCCTTTTAAGAGTTATTACCCTTGAACAACAATTTGAACACACATTGAAGATGTGCATCTTTTTTTTTTTAACAAATTAAAATCATTTTTTCTCAGGTTTTTTATGTGTTGAACTTGGTCATTTTTGTCATTAAATGCTTTAGAAGGTATAATGTACCTATAGTTTGTGCCATCCGTAATTCAACAGTTTGCCTTCAACAATCATTCATACTTTGCACAGTGATCACACACAGATTAAAGATATGCACCTCCTATTTTGAACAGATTTGGATCATTCTTTTCTTTAACATTATTCAAACTTTGCACTTGGGGCCTAAATATTCCCATTAAAGCAATATTCTTATATCTACCAGAGACAAACCCTACACAATATACATATTTTTCTATGATTAGTTGTATCTGGCATTAGTGCTATACAGATAAACCATTTATTAGTCCGAGAATTTTATGCATTTTGATTATTTGGCTATATTTGTATACTTTTGAAATCTTCATGGAGATAAAGGCTGTTCTTCAAATCAGTGCCATGTGATGCAGGTCCAATCTTGGCATTGGTCTTGTTACTCTAACTTTTGCATCATATTGATAATTAGAATTAAATGATTGATCAATACCTGTTGAGTAAGAGGAAGGTCAATAGTTTGACACAGTGATAGGACAAATACTTCACATTTTATTTAAATTTTTGTGCACAAACACAATTGTTTTTAAAAAAAGTAATGAAAAGAAACAAAATATGATATCCAAACATATTTTCAAACTTTTGAATGAAGTTTTTTGTATTCATTGACATTTTTCAAGGATTGAAACTATAAATACATCTCATTATACTAGAAGAATACTCAAATATGACAGTAGAAAATTTTCTTTTCTCGGTCAGTCTTTTGTTTCAGAGAATTTGTCTACATGTGTTTGACCTTGGAAATTTTGTTTTACGATTTACCCTTTTTTTCTTTTCTTTTTCTTTAAAAGTTACCTTGTAGTATGTATCAAAAATGAAATGGAAAAAAAACGAAATCAATTGAAAATCTCAATTTTTTTCTGCTTTATTTACCTATGCTAAATTCATCAAGTAAACTACTGCTATCACTTGGTTCCCAGGATCTATCCCTTCTATAAAAACTTTAAACATATTCATCTTCATTGTCTGGCCAGTCTGAATTCAGATGGCAAGATGTCTTGATTTTTATCAGATTATACATAAAGAACTTAGTGTACCTTCAATAAAAGAAAATCATTATTCTATATTCAGTTACTGTGAATTTATTTATTTTGGTGGGTACAAATTTTACGTGGATTGAGGAAAACTTGCATGTTCCTGGATATTTGATTTCGTGGTTTTGCCAAAGTCTGCATACAAGCCTATAGAAAATTTGTATTAAACAAATAATACGTGTAATGAATCCACAGTAGTTTTAGTCCTTCTTCATATATCAATTTGTTGAATAATTATGAGAAAACACATTAATTATTAGTCTTGTATATGACTGAAATAGTGCCAAATGAGAATTTCATTTTAAACAGTAAGTTATCACCAGTATACCTATGATGATTTTTTTCAGTTGGGTTTATGACCAGGCAATAGATCCACAAGATGTAATAAAGGATACAATTTTCTTCAAAGTAATAGATTTAGCATACAGAGAGGGTAAGTTCAGCTTTTAAAGCCTAGCAGGATGTGTGCAGTAAGTGCAATGTAAAGTTCAGTTTAATCCAACAACATATTTATGTGCTGTCCCAAGTCAGGAACCTCATCAGTGGTAGTCTTTTGTCTTGTCTTAATGTTGATGGATCGCAGATGGGGGAGCCTTGCTATGTGGTATTGGTTTTGTCTATTGTTGAAGGCTGTATGGTGACCTATTGTTGCTAGCTTTTACATCTTTTGGGCTCTGGTGGAGAGTTGTCTCATTGGCAATCATACCACATCTTCTATTTTTATATTGGAGGCACATTACTGTAAACCAACTTATTTTCGCGAATACATTATTTCGCGAGTAGCCCTTTCTAGCCCTCTTGGCGGCGATTTAGTTTCGCTATTTCAAATTTACTAGATGTAATTAAATAAAGAAAGATGCAAGTTTTACATCTTCGCGACGATTTATATTCGCGATATTTTTCTACTCGCGAAAATAAGTTGGTTTACAGTATTCCAATTTAAATTCTTTGGAAATTCACATCATCATTTGCTTTTTATACCCCTGCTGTGAAGGGAGACGTGTATACTAGTGTATACTATTTTACATCTGTCTGTCCCAACAAATTTGAATTACAATTTTCTCAGGAATTACGAATCAGATCTTCCTGAAATTTGTTAGTAAGCTTCACATGAGCATGATATACTGTGTATTGGGTTTTCACATTAATTACTTGTTTTTCAAATACTTATATATTTTTACACATTATGGCAATATATGAAATTTTTCATCACATGTTTCATTGGAAGTCCAATTCAGGGTTTTCAAAAATTTTAAATAAAAGCTTTATGTGTGCATGCTGAACAAAGTAATACATTTTCAGATTCATCAGTTAACAACTTCCTGTTTACTGAATACTTATAGTGTGGGGTAGTTTGTGAGTAATAACTCACAGTTCAACTTCTTGTACTTCTCATTTTACAATTTTGAAAGTCTATTAAATAACAAAATAACAGCTCACTGACAACTATTCTCCAGTATCACCGACACATTGTGGTAACTGGTCATATAACCTTCCACATGTCTACATTTGGAGACAGGTTTATAGTCAAGTTTAAAAAATGAGTGCTGACTGATAGGGAAGTTCTGCTCCTTATAAATGTAAATCACATGGTAAATATTGTTTTAAGCACAAACATGCATACATTTGTTTAGTGCCTGTTTGAAGTCAGATCCTTTTCAAATTTGAATGCAGTTTGCCACTATTCAAAATCTCAGATAAATTTGATAATAAAAAAAATCTGAAATGGAGGAACAATTTTCTGGAGTTTATTTAAACAAATAAAATGAAACATAACGCAATGTGAAAACTAGAAAACTATTCATTCCAAAACTGCATGTCTTAGTATTGGTGACTTAAAGCATGCATACTCTGCTTTCTGTCAGTAAAATAATGTTTTAATTAGATTGTCAAATCTTTTTGTTACTGGATAATTTCCTGTTTATGTCAGCCTTTGACATTGTTACTGCATGTATGTGATTGACATGGGAAAACACAGTGTTTATTTACATTTAACTTTTTTCAGGACAAAATTTGCCATCATTTTTACCAGAGCTTGATTCATTGCTACAGTCAGATGACCTAGGATTACTTAAAGATGATGATACATTTCAGTATCTTATGAGAGCAGGTTTTGAACATATTCAACAGATGGCAATATGATAAAACTTGAATGAAGGGTGTTAATGGTGCTTTTGTTTACAAAGTAATATGTTGAAGGTAATCGAGAATTGAATGTAAAGGAACTTACAATCAACATGTGTTAACATTATTGCAAACTATATTGGAAAATATAAGTCAAAATTGATACAACTGTTTAACAGAAAGAAAGCTATTTAGCATGAGTATTACAGGAGCAGCCATATGTCTCCATGAATAAAGAATGGACATGTTAGTTGTTCTTTTTTTTAATGTGAGTTCATACTAACTGCTACTATGGTTTGCAGTATTGTCAGCTCCATTCTTTTGTTCTGTGGACCATATCAATGAACTAGTTGTCCAGACTGTAACATTGGGGAAATTTTGATTTTCCATCACTTGCAAAGAACACAAATGGCCATAATTATTTTTGCCATCATGATCAGACACTGTTTGCCAGAGTGATGTTCATTCAACATTTTTGTAAGCTTATGATATGATACCCTCTGAATCAACCTCTTTGACTGTTTTCATTTAGTAAGTGTTCTATTTGATGTTTGCTGATCATATTATCTTTTATTTGATGCAGAATTTTGTTCTTGCTAACATTTAATGAGTCTGTACACATAATATTACCTCTTGCATTGATGAGGTTCACTATTTGTTGAAATGAAGTGTTCAAAATCATGTTATTGAACAGTTATTTTGGTATTTTGTACATGAGATGTGGGGAGCTGAGCACTTTTGATTAATGTTGTGTTAAAATTTGAATTAACTAAACCAACTAAGAAGGAAGCTGCCATCTTTGAACATCATCATTTCAAATGTACGTAAGATTAAACTTACCTACCTGATTGAGTTGTTGCTGTTAGAAAAAAAAAACTATTTTATAAAATAATGATTTGACCAATTTGTATCAATTTTGGTATTAATGTCCCCCCGGTGAATCATTCTCAGAAATATTTTCAGTGTCCAAACCATCTTGGTGGCCAACCAATAGAAAATATTGTTCTGGTCTATTCGGCAGTGTTAGATTATCCATATATGCAAATAAGGGTTCCTTTAATTTCTATTATTAGAAAATGTTGAGATTTCTTCAATAGATAGTTTTAACAAAGATTTTGGGATTTATTTTCTTGGAAGTTGAGCCAATTTTAATAATTACATACAGTGAGTCAGACAAGTTCTCTCAGTGAAACAAATTTCTAGAAAAAAACAGTTGCTTCATTTACTCTTAATTGTATTATGCATATGTTTAAATCATTAAAGGAGGGTCATGTTAGCTTATGCCATCAATTTGTGTATGTCCACATCACTCTAATCTTTTTCGTAGTTGTAAACCTCTTTAAAATATTTCTTCTCTGAAACGATAGGACCAATTTTAACCAAAGTTAGGCTGAATAATTCTTAGAGTATCTACCACTGTACATTAAGTAAAAAACAATCAACCTAAGGGTATCTTTGTATCAAGTTTATATTTTTGCTTCGCTTATGAACCAAGATGGCCCCAACTGCTGAAAAGAGAACATTAGAGTAAAAGACATGTAATTATGTGATATAATAGAAAGAGAAAAGCTTACAGGCAAACATGTTCAAAATGCCAAGCTCTACCAACTAGAACTTTTTATTTCCACGAAAAGTATCACCGAGACAACCCTCCATAGTTGTTGCCCTTAAATCATGATTTTTTGCTTATTATCTTGCAAAGTATAGTAGATACACAGTAAAAATAATTAGTAATACAAGATCTATAAAAAAATAGAAATTTGAAACCATTTCTAAAATCATCAGTTGACTCCTTAAAAGAGTTATTCCCCTGAAATTGTGATTTTTGACCAGTTTTATGGTGTTTGCTTATTATCTTGAAAAGAATAATTGTGTCTGTCAATCTGTCACAAATTTTTTTCCACTAACACGCAAACCCCATGGAGTTTGGTAATGAATCTTATTTCAAATTAGTTTACCCTTGTGGATATGTACAAAACTCTTTTCTGTTCTCTAACTTTAAAGACCCTTGAAGTTTTGATATTAATTTGGCATGATATGTCACTACTACTTGAAGTTGTGTCCAGTACAAAAAAAAAACTTTATAGTGGTAAAAAATGTCGCCTATGTGAATCTGTACAAAAATCAATTCCACTCTGACTTCCAAACCCCTTGGAGTTGGATAATGAAACTTAGTATGATTATTCACCAACTCTGAAAGGTGTGTCAGGTAAAAGGTAGACAACCTTTAATTTAAAGTGATATTAAAAAAAAACCTTTGTTCAACTTAGCCATTCCTGTGCATATGTTCACCAAAATTGGTTTGGCTCTCTAACTTTAAAACCCCTTGGAGTCTGGAGTTTAATTAGTGGTGCATCAGAAAATTTCTGCCTTCCCTGGGGATACCCAAGTTATGTTTATAACCAAATAACCCTGATAACTTCTAATTTGCACCACAATTTAATTGTTTACTCTCGCAGGAACCTCTGTAATTGCTTCCATTACTATCCCCTACTTGACTGTATAGGAGTTATTGCCATGAAAGGATGATTTTTACAAAATGTAATGTTTTGCTTGTTATCTTAAAATTATAATACAAAATGTAGGTGAACAAAGACTGTAAATGGATAAAATGATAACAATATAAGATCTACTTATCTACTAAATGCCAATATGACTGAAGTAATCACTTGACTCCTCATAGGAGTTATTTCTCATAAATAATGATTTTTTTTTACATATTTTATTTTGTTTGCCTAGTATTTTGATAAGTGACTTACACCAATAAAAATTCATGTAATAATGCATCTAGTGGATTATGAACAGCCTCCTACCAAAATTAGGTTACTCTGACCTACATTTCATTCTTAAATTACTTTGTAAATTTGATATCTAAATGCAGTTTTCAGATACTTAGTGAGTTACATTATCCATTTCCAATGTCTTCTTGGGCCTTGGTTGCTTAAAAGTCTAAATAGTTCGTCAATGATCACTAGCCTGTCAACCCTGCTCAATTCAAAGTGCATTTGACTCTGATCATTATTGACTAGGATTGCCAGTTTTCCTTCTGAAGGTCTATGGTTCACTCCAGGTACTCCGGCTTCCTCTGCCAATAAAAACTGGCCACCATGATAAAACCAAGAGGGTTGAAAGGGGTGTTAAACACCAACAATCAGACAACCAATCTATGTAAAATAATTATTTTAATCAAAACAACAATTCCTGTTAATAAAGTGATGAAAAGTAAACTATTCTGTGGAAAATACAAGTACTTTTGTATTCAAATCTGTTCTATTTAGATAATCCATCCTTGATGTCATCTGTCCACTAACTCAATGGTATTGTGGTAACATGCTTTCCTCTAGTGTGGGAGGTTGTGGGTTTGATCCCCAACTGTGTTGCACCAAAGACTTGAAAAGTGGCATTTGCTGCTTTTCTGCTAAGCATGCAGCATTGAATAGAAAGAGCATAGACTGGTTGGATCAGAGTCGGAATAATGTATCTGGGTAGGGAAACATGTTTTTGCAAACCTTGTGAACTACCACATTGAAAGATATGTCTCATTGTGCTGGTCTAGTATAAAGCAGAGTTGAGATTCATATCACATTAATATTGACTAAAGTTGACAGCCATTTTTCTTTGAAGGTCCATCAAAGCAGAGGTCAAAGTTCACATTAAAAAAGCCAATGGGAAATTAGATGAAGATTTTATTTTTGATAACAGAAGAGGCTTCACATTTTTAAATCTTGCATAGCCAGACAGATGCAATCTCGGCACAACTGCCCACCATAATATGGTCACTTTGATTTACATATCGCTTTAAAGTTGATTTTACCTTACTCTTAGAGTTAATTCCTCCACTTCATTTTAAATTGTGATCATGTAAGGGGACAACCATTTGATTTTCTTGGATTGGGCAGGGGGGGTCATTGACTTTGAATGTTTTGCATAGTTTACATGTTAAAGTATTGCCATTTTAATTACAACTTGTGCATTATGCTATCAAAGTTACATAAAGGGAACAAATAGCGGTGTCAAAAGTTTACTACAACAACAAGGCTTCACATGTTATCTCTGTTCATTTGTATGAATGGCATGTTTAAAGGCATACAAGCAACAAAGAACAAATGTCTGTACTTGAAAATGGGCTTCATACTTTTATCACTCCAACATGTAAATTTTGAGCAGAACCAATTCTGTTAGTATGGTAATCATTTGCAGAAATAAGTATGGTAATCATTTGCAGAAATAACAGAAAAATATCAATATTTCAGACTTGGTGTCAGCTAGGACCTGTTATTTAGGCTCTTGGTGTCAGATGAAATTTGTAATATTAGAAAATCATAACCATAATGAATAAGGGGACTTGAATCCTATACATTATATATACAAGACTAGTATTCTGCAACCGCTAGATATCAAATTTTACTTATTGAAAACTCCCATGTCCTGTATTAGAAAACTCCTACGCTTCAAGAGGATTGAGTGGCTTCTTGAAGTGTTTCGTGTGCTCAATGCGGGTAACTTACATACTAGGTAACACTTATTACTTTTTCGGCAGCGATGACAACATCAATTTTTAACATTTCATCCCAATTTTTAACTAGAATAACATACAGTTATTATGACAGAATTTTTAAACCATTCATTGTCACTTAACAGTGACCTCATTTTCATGCTTAGTTTGCAAGATGAGATCAATTCATTTGAACCATATACATCATAGGTCAACAATATTTGGTATGTTAATCGGGTATTTATGAATTTGTGTCCTTCTGATATCATACTACATTTACATTAAGAATTGATTGGTAGGTGGAATGGTTGTAACAGGGTATTTAACTCGGTAAGTATGTACGGTAGGTCAAAGATATTATGTATATGTATTTTTGTAAGGAGTGAAATGTATAAAGTGGCCTTGACCTTATTTACATACATCAGTGAACAGATGAAGTTCTTGATAAGGTCTGTTACAACTAGAAATTTTCAATCTAACATGGCCAAAACTTTTTCGCGATTGTCCTGAAATGAATGAAATATTTGGTGCTTGATGTTAAGATGAAAACTACGCATGCCCTATGTGAGAATAACATTTTCAGATAGCTCCACAATTTTTTCTAAAATATTAGTGTTTTGCATTGATATCACCTATGATCATTGGACTAGAGAGGCTTGGTTGAGATTATCCAGAATAACACTATCTACGGTTTGACAGAATTCCGAGACCAAAATTCATATCTCCCACATACAGTCCAAATTTTGCCGCCATTG